GGGGTTTCATATCCTCAGGACCACATTTAAAACTGTTACTTACCTCAGAGCGTGAAATTCTTTACTCTGCTATGTCTTTGCCTCGCAAATCGGCCTCTGAATGCCTTGAATCTAGTAACAAATAATTCATTTCAGTCAATAAAATTTATTGAAATTAATTTCATAAAAAATGCTAATTTTCCATAAAAATCCGAATTTTAGCTCAAAGATCGCCTGTGGGGCCCATATCTCGGAACTCGACAAAGGTTACAAAATCTGGAAACACATTCAATCACAAGTCTAACCATACTAATTTTATCAAAATCCGACCCCAACTCGACCCTCAAATCTTTAATTTAAACTAAGAGGTTTTTCAAACTTTTTCAACTTAATTCACCAATTAAATGATAAAAACAATCATGGATTTGGGTAATTTAACCAATATTGAGTTAAGAACATATACCCCATTGTTTTTCTTGAAAAACTCCCGAAAATCGCCTCTCCCCGAGCTCAAATCTGTCAAAAACTGAAAATGGGACAAAGTCCCATTTTCAGAACTTAAACTCGCTGCTCAGACATCTGCTCTACGCGATCGCGAACATTCCCACGCGATCGCGAAGAACAATTTTTCATCGCCCAGATTTTACTCTACGCGATCGCGCACTTTTCCAGGCGATCGCGAAGCACAACATCACAGACCTACGTGATTGCAAACTCGTCCACGCGATCGCGAAGCACAAAACGCGTGACTTCTATTTCCGCTCCACTTACTCTACGCGAATGCGACCTTCTTCACGCGTTCGCAAGTCACAAAATCCCAGAGCTACGCGATCGCGAAGCACAAAATGCCACTGCCTCACATTAACCCTACGCGATCGCAGATATCTCTATGCGATCGCGTAGAACAAAAATCCCCACTGACAAACTAAGCCTACGCGATCGCAGATACATTCACGCGATCGCGTAGAAGGAAAACATCATGAGATATCAGAAAATTCTAGCAGCTGTTCAAGTCCGAATATTTGATCCGTTAACCATCTAAAACTCACTTAAGCCCCTCGGGACCTCAATCAAATATACCAACAAGTTCTAAAATATAATACGGACTTAGTCGAACCCTCAAATCATCTCAAACAACGCTAAAATCATGAATTACACCCAAATCAAGCCTAATGAATTACACCCAATTCAAGCCCAATTCAGAATCGGATTTCGACCCCGATATCAAAAAGTCAACCCCCGGGCAAACTTCCCAAAAAAATTAACTTTCGGCATTTCAACCCTAATTCCGCTACAGACCTCCAAATAATATTTCGAACACGCTCCTAATCCCAAAATCACCATACGGAGCTATCGGAATTATCAAAATTCAAATCCGAGGTCGTTTACACATAGGTCCATATCCGGTTCACTTTTCTAACTTAAATTTTTAATTATGAGGCTAAGTGTCTCATTTCACTCTGAATTCCTTCCGCACCCGAACCCACTAACCCGGTAAGTCATAAAATAACTATAAAGCATAAATTGAGCAGTAAATGGGGGAACGAGGTTATAATACTCAAAACGACCGGTCAGATCATTACAACACTACTAAGTTGTAATAATATAATGGTAATATTGCTCCACTCGGGTATTGTATTTTACCCCATTAAAAGATTTTGTCTTTATTACTCTCTTGTATTATTGTTATTTATCGTGGATATTATTTCTACGCGGGATATTAGTTTCCCAACAAAAGTTTCTTCATCTCTTGACATTTAAGTGTCCTCTAACTTCTCCTTAATAGTCTCTGTAAATGTATTCTGAAAAAAATTTAATTAGTTATAATATAAAATAACAAAATCTGCCAAGTTTGTCACCCGAAATGCAGCGAAGGGTGTTGCCTATTGATCATTAAAGTGAGTGAGAACCATGAGATCTCATGTTCAAATCCTAGTGGAGGCAAAAACTCTATCCAAATTTTGGTAGATAGAGTTACCTAGTACTTGTTGCTAGTAAGATGTGGCATGTTTCCCGTGGAATTAACTGAGGTGCATACAAGTTGGCCCAAACACCATGGTTATCAAAAAAAATATAGTACTTAGATAAATGCAGTGGTTTTCATTATTGTATACAGATTTGCTGCTTTTCACACTAAGTTCATGGTTTTTTTTTACCTCATATTAGTAATTTCCTTTATGTTTTAGCAAAGCAAGATACGTCTTGCTGCAAACATGGATGCATAGAAAGAAGAGGTAGAAAATGGAAAAGAAGAGTACATCAATTTCTTTTCTACTGCAGCAAATCACTAATATTATCTTTTGCTAAATGATGCTCAAGTAAATACAAGAAACTTTAAAATTTAAGAGATTTGAATGATCATACGGATCGATGGCTCATTCTTTTGTTAGTGCATCCGCCACTTGGTTTTGCTCCCCATAGATATATATATGAAGGATGTTGTGGTCTCTAGGAGCATCATCAATGACATGCATTCCAAAATAATAGAGCTTTACGTATATTTCCATTTTGTAACATATTGATTATCTTGAGTCAATAATTATCTCTAGCAGAGAAAGAGATTTTCTACCGCAATCTTAAATCCCTGCATAAGCGTCAATAGCTCAGCTAGAGTGTTAGTAGTGTTGGGGATACCTTTCATGAAACCCCTACTATTTTTGGCAATTCCCCTTATTCCCCAACCGCATGGTTCCCATTTAACGTACTAGGCTTAGCAATTAAAGCATATTCCGCAGCGTTATAAATAGTGTTTGAAACTTTAGCCTTTTCATTCTTTATGATTAAAAACATTATTACTCCCAGCAAACTAGATGTGTCATTAGCAGACATCGATTATATCGACCCAAGAGAGGTAATCATTGTACTCCTGATTCTTGATGTTAATTAAGTCAACGTTGCGTTCCAAGAGTTCATAGAAAAAACAATAGGGGCAGTCTAAGAGGTTCTACCACTTTTTTCCCAATTCTTCCGACTCCAATCCTTAATTACATGACAGTAACAAAGATAGATTAGTATAATTTAACCAAAATAGAGTTAAGAATTCTTACCCCAACGTAACAATTCCGCTGAAAATCCCTCGAAATTTCATCTTAAACCGAGCTCTCAAAGTCCCAAGATGTATTATGAAGACTAACCCTCGAAAATTCCCTTTTCTGCCTAGTGAATCTGCAGCTGCGGTCGCTCTGTCGTATCTGCGACGCCGCACCTGCGAAAAAACCATCACAGGAGCGGTTCCAGCTTAAGTCAGGACTTACCGCTTGTGCGGACCAAACGTGCTTCTGCGCTTCCACTTTTGCGGACAAAACGTGCTTCTGCACACACGCTTCTACGGACGATGTCCGCTTCTGCGATCCCAGGCCTTCCTCGCCAATTCTGCTTATGCGACCAACTTTCCGCATCTGCAGGCTCGCAGATGTGGCACACTCCTCGCGCCTGCGATCCATCAGTAGCCCATCCAACTATGCACCTGCGATGCCTGAACTGCTTCTACGGAATCGCACCTACGGAAAGCTCCTTGCAGGTGCGATTGCACTAGAACTGAACCTCCAAAATTTCCCAAGTCCAAATTCTTTTGATCCATTATCCATCCAGAATCCCCCCTATGCCCCCGGACCTCAACCAATTATACCAACAAGTTCCAAAATATATAACGGACCTACTCGAGACCACAAATCACATCAAACAACATAAATTCTATGGGTCGAAACCCAAATTCAAGCCTATGAACTATGAACTTCCAAATTCTGAAACCAACTCCGATTGACACCAAATTTTGTACACAAGTCATAAATAACAGACGAATTCCAACTTCCGGAATCGGGATCCGACCCCGATATCAATAAAATCAGCTCCCGATTAAACTTCCCAAAAACCTTCCATTTTTCAACTTTCGCCAAATCGTGCAGAAAGGACCTACGGACCTCCAAATCAACATCTGGATACACTCCTAAGAAAAAATCACCATACGGAGCTATTGGAACCATCCAAACTCTATTCAGGAGTTATCTTCACACAAGTCAAACTACGGTCAACTCCTACGACTTAAACCTCCAACTTAGGGACTATGTGTCCCCTTTCAATCCGAAACTCACCCGAAACCAAAACCAAAACCCCCAGAAAGTCATGTAACTATAATATAATACAGAGGAGGCAATAAATAGGGGTTCGAGGCTAGCACACTCAAAACGACCGACCGGATCGTTACACAGTGAAATGATTTCTTTCATGTACTATTTATCACGTTAGGTTTAGAAAGGCGTTTTAAGAGGTTTATAAAGATTAAAGTTATTCGATAATTATGCTTCAAGTTTAGGGTTTGGACTACAAAATTTGTTCACTTGCCGTAAGTATTACGATTAGGATTCACGAGTTTGTAAAGGCTTTAAATTACTCTCTAATTATCTTAAGATTTTATATTAAATTTCTCAAAATAATTGTACTTTATGAGTAAGAGAATAAATATTTTAACATATTTAAAGCTTATAATGGAATGATTTTTCCTAAGCAAGATAAGAAGATATCCATATAAAAACTAGAGTAAATTTAGAATGCACGAGCACAATAGGAAAAAAAAAAGATTACTTCATAAATTGCCATCTTTTTGTGTATGAACATGCTAAAACTTATACCATAAACGAATGGCGCATGCAGCAAAAATTTTCCCACCCACGCACAAAAAGGTAATCCCTATTATTTTTGTTACTTTTATTTAAATTCTTAACAAAATAATAGTTGGTGTTCTAAGTGCAATCCAATAACATAATTCTAATAAAGTAAAATATGTATTGTCTAATTATGATCATTTAGGATTAGCACTGACGTTTAAGGAAAAAGAAAAAGAATGAGGCCCAGATTTGTTTCAATCCTTCTGGAAAAGGAATTAACATAAAAAAAAATTAATTCCCTGTTATTTGAATTCATTTCCATTCAAACAATGAAATGATTTTATAGTTATAAATAAACTCTTAAGGGTGAGACCCAAAATCACATTTCTCTTTGTTTTTCAAATCATAGGTTTAGCCATGGGAAGAAAGAGTAATGGTCGAAAAAGAATTGACATGGTGAAGATACAAAATGAGAGAAACTTACAAGCGAGTTTCTCTAAACGACACGATGGCCTCTTCAAGAAGGCTAGTGAACTTTGTACACTAAGTGGTGCTGAAGTTGCCTTAGTGGTATTTTCCCCAGGCAACAAAGTTTACTCGTTTGGCCACCCCTCTGTGGATTTGGTCATGGATAGGTTCCTGCCAGGGAACTCTCCTAACCAGCTTATTGAGGCTCATCGAAATGGTTGCGTTGGTGAGGTCAATATGGAGGAGCTGATCGACAAAGAAGGGAGATTAGAAATGGAGAGAAGTCGCACAGAAGCCTTACAAGGAATTAGGAGGGGTGCTACTTCAGACAAGCGTTGGTGGGAAGCTCCAATTGAAGAGCTAAACTTTTTTCAACTTCAACAAGTAGCAGAGGCAATGGAAATGACAAAGGATNATCTGCTGGAATCTGCAGACATTGAAGTCCCCTTCCTCTTTCCTTATTTACTGTTCATTTCATTCGAGTCAATTGTACTTATTTCAGACTTTATTGTAGCACTTGTAGAAGCTCGTGCACTTGTGACTCCAGATCCGGGTTGTACTTAGATATTTTTGTTTACCCTCAAAATCGGATAACAATTAAATTGGTAAGTGGTTTTAAGGATACGCAGATTAATTTGATACAAAGCGATAAATTAAGTCAAATTGAATAAAGAAAGATAAAATGGGTTCAAACCTAATACAGTGAAGCATCAAATGAGTTATTAAGCCAATTTAGGATTCAAATAAGGTACAATAGTGGAAAGGTTGTGCAAATAGAATATCAATTGAGTTTAGTTTAGAAATATACGAGATTCAATAAAAATATTATATTTATACAAAAATAGGATATCAACCAAATTTTAGTGAGATAAATATGGGATTTATTAAGGTAATACAAAATAACAATTATTTTTTGTAAATTGCATGACAATAAGATAATGAGTGAATTTGAAATACCAATTAGAGTAAAAAATGAAATCACTATTTTAATTAGCAGAACTCAGAACAAGATATGAGTTTTATTTTGAAAGACTTGCAAATGGAACAACTTGAGAATTCTTTCATTTAATTGTGCCAAATTTTAGCAACTTAACATATCACATAGGGTGCATGACTCACACAAGAATTCCATATTATTTCATTTAATATATTGACGGTTAATTAATTATGATCAAAATAGAATGAAGTGATTTAAGAAACCAAAGTAACCGTCCTAGCATGAAATGCATCATGAGAATCACAATCGGAATTAACCTTAATATCACAATAATTTAATATCTTTACATTTGTTGCGACTTGCAACCCGATCCCACTCAATAATAATCATATTTGTTTATTTGTTACGGTGTGCAACCCTATCCCACTGAATAAGAATCATATCTATTTAATTATTGCGGCGTGCAACCCGATCCCATACAACATTAATTATATTTAATCATATTTTAGCCTCACAACCCTTTTTAGTGACTAAAATAGAATGAGAGACACGACTATCTCCATAGAATCTCGCAACAGGAGTAAACACATAAGTAGATTACAGGATTACGAAACTCACTCATAAGTGGAGCATAATAGGAGGACTCGCCTCGATACTTAGAACTGAATCAAGTTAAGAAAATTATTCCATTATAATAAATTGAGAGCGTACCTGTAATGACACCATCTGATGTAGCAGCCTCTGCCATACCATGGAAAATATATCAACGGGTCAGGCCTCCACCTCTAGGACGCCCTCTACCTGCCTGTCCTCCACTCCTAACTGGATATGTAGGTGGAGTAGCAACTGAAATGGGGCTCGAAGCCTGAGTGTTCTAATGAAATATGTCTCTCCCAAGTCTGGGACAATTTCTCATGATGTGCCTAGTATCCCCACACTCATAACAACCCCTCTGCGGGTTCGGCTGCTCTTACTAAGTCAGTGCCGGATAACTGGAATAACCATTGTAGGAATCTCGTGTCGGTGGTGCAGTAAAATAACTTACTGGTGCACCCCGAGTAATATGATGTGCGGACTGAGCTCAAGGACTTCTCGAGTCTCCGCCATAATGAGTTATAGCTACAGAGTAGAATCCACTAAATTCTCCAGAACCTCGAGACCTCTTGGTCTCCTTAGTTTCCTTTTCCTCACCCCAAACACGTTCTAACCTCTTGGCAATTTCCACCACTAACCGAAATTAAGTATCAGCCTATAGCTCTCGAGTCATACCGAATTTAAGATCATAACTGAATCCTTCAATGAATCTGCAGACTCATTCTCTGGCTGTAGGAACCAAAGTAGGAGTATTACGGGCTAACTGACTGAACCTGATGGCATGTTCTTACGCCGTCATTGTGCCCTGACGCAACCTTTCAAACTCTGTGCACCACGTATTTTGTAGAGTCTAGGGAACAAACTCCCTCAAAAACATTCTACAAACTTAGCCCAAGTAGGTGGTGTTGCATTGTCTGGTCTGCCCTCTTCATAGACTTGCCACAAACACATGTGGAGAATTATCTCTCCAAAGGCCAATTTCTTCCTTTGCTATGCTAACTCAGCACCACCAAGCTGACCCATTGCTTCACATACTCCTCGCTTCTTCCTTGGGGTAACACTTCTCCCTATTTATACACAATGATCCCAAAATTAAAGCTCCATACAGACAAATCTTGGCACGAACCGCGTAGCCCAGAAGCAAAAACCATCGTACTTCCTCTGAGGCACCCCATACTGCCGCAACCGAGACGCCCACACTGAGTAGATCTTCTATAAATTTGAAGTTGTTTCTCTAGCTCCTTTGGCACTGAAGTATAGGATTATTAAGGACACAGACATACCGCAAGTCCCAACATTATCACCTGCAAAATCTCAGGCCTTAAACATGTGCAAATTTTGGGGAACCTTTTAGTACCACATATATACATCCCAGGACAGAACTGATATAACACATGACCCTACAATATGTTTGTCTATAGTGGACTCCCCCACCTGGCATGAAGCCATAGGATGCGATGATCCACAATACTTATCTTCACAGCTCGTACTCATCAACCAGATGACAGAATCCGCTGCACCCCCACGTAAATCACTGAGTGATCCTTCAATACATTTGTATCTTCAGTCGGGACCACACGTTGAGATGATGTTTGAGCATCCCTGGCTCCCTCGTTGTCCTCACGAACCATCAACGCACAACTGATACCGAGTGCGCAATGTCATACACTAGTGGATCTAAATGAATATAAGATATATGCTTCAAGTTGAATCAATATCGCACGATAAGGAATAAAAGAAGTGGAATTTTCTAATAGTTTCCGTAGCCTATCAAAGATAATCACAGACATCTCCATACCGATCCGCAAGACTCTACTAAACCTGCTTATGACTTGTAGCACCTATGAACCTAGAGCTCTGATACCAACTTGTCACGACCCAAATTTTTCTCTGTAGAATGTCGTGATGGCACCTAGTATTAGGAACTAGGTAAGCCTAACACTTACTTAATTAGTGGCAACTCAACCAATAATTATTAAATATGAAAAATTAATTTCCTACATTCCCAAAGACGGTAGTACAAGTAACAAGCTCTACAGAGTTTACTAGAAAATGATCTCCAAATACAACTATTCCAGAATAGAATCAAACAGTGCAAAGAAAATATCATAAGGTGACTCTGAGGCCTGCGAACGCGACAGCAGGTGTACCTTGAGTCCCCACAGAAATGCCCGATCAAATAACAGGAATATAAGGACTATGAGGTACCTGAATCTGTACAAAAATATGCAGAAGAGTAATATGAGTACACCATAGCAGTACCTAGTAAGTATCAAGCCTATCCTCGGTAGAGTAGTGACGAGGCCAGGTCAAGATACTTACCAGACATATAAACGTATACAAAATGTTACATAAAGCTAACAAGGAAAAATATTAATGTAAGGCTAATAACAGAAGAATTTTCAATTCAAATCAACAATGAGAATAAGGAGAACACGGATGGCAACGAGAAAACAATCAAGTAATTAAGCAACAACATAATCAGAGTAGAAATGACATATGAATGGGTTCAAGTAAGGAATCATATGATGAATCAATCAATTAAATTATTTATACCGCATGTATTTCAACATAAATTACTCGAGGTATCACTCCTTGACATCTCAAATCATGATTCACAACTTCCAATTCTTATACATGTGACATCTTATGCCCACATCTTTTTGAATCACTTTTGCACGGCAAATATTCTCGTGCTACCATATATATAGATTCCGTATCAATATCAACCAAGATGACTAATGAATAATTAAACACACTTAAATACCATTTTCAAATTTAATACAGTGAAGCATCAAATGATTTATTAAGCCAATTTAGGATTCAAATAAAGTAAAATAGTGAGAGGTTGTGCAAATAGAATATCAATTGAGTTTAGTTTAGAAATATATGAGATTCGATAAAAATATTGTATTTATACAAAAATAGGACATCAACCAAATTTTAACGAGATAAATATGAGATTTATTAAGGTAATACAAAAGAATAATTTTTTCGTAAATTGCACGACAATAAGATAATGAGTGAATTTGAAATACCAATTAGAGTAAAAATGGAATCACTATTTTAATTAGTAGAACTCAGAACAAGATATGAGTTTTATTTTGAAAGACTTGCAAATCGAACAACTTGAGAATTCTTTCATTTAATTGTGTCAAATTTTAGCAACTTAACATATCACATAGGATGCATGACTCACACAAGAATTCCATATTGTTTCATTTTTAATATATTGACGGTTAATTAATTATGATCAAAATAGAATGAAGTGATTTAAGAAAACAAAGTAACCGTCCTAGCATGAAATGCATCATGAGAATCACAATCGGAATTAACCTTAATATCACAATAATTTAATATCTTTACGTTTGTTGCGGCGTGCAACCCGATCTCACACAATAATAATCATATCTGTTTATTTGTTGCGGCGTGCAACTTGATCCCACTCAATAATAATCATATCTGTTTATTTATTGCGGCGTGCAACCCGATCACATACAACATTAATCATATTTATTTATTTTTTGCTGCGTGTAACCCGGTCCCCATTATAAAAATTAAATAAATTTGTTGCGACGTTCAACCTGCTCCTCAATATAAATATTAAACACATCTATTTCGGCGTGCAACCCGCTCCTCAAGCAACACAAATTAAGCAACCAAATTACAACCAACTGCAGTGTACCACAAAATCAAAAGGAATAACGAGGCTACATAAGGAAGTCACAACTAATGAAAAAGGCTACACGATAGCTTACGAAATCAAATAGCAAGGAAATGACAATACATAAACTAAGGCACAATTTATGAGCATCAATTAACTATTGGGTATGTAGCAGATAAAACATGAATTCAACAAGTGATTGCAATCAACAATTGGCATATAAGGGTGAACTTGACAACAAATATGGAACATGTGCTAACAATTTTAAGTAAAGCACGTACAAACAATTCTAACAACAAAAGATATAGTCATGAAACGATAGCTACAATTAATTACATGAAGGAAGCCTAACAGTCCAAATCGATAAAATACCACGTATAGGTCATGTACCCACTCGTCACCTCGCGTACACGACCTTCACTTAACACGAATGACACAATCATCTCAAATCCTAAGGGGTGGTTTCTCCCACACAAAGTTAGACAAGACACTTACCTATCGAAATTAGGTCAATATTCTAAAATAGCTTACTCGCGTGAAATGACCTTCAGACGGCTCAAATCTGGCAAAATTAATTACATAACATCATTAAAATTTATCGGGAACAATTTCGGATAATAAAACGCCGACTTTAAATTTTACTTTAAAAAGTCAACACTGGGTCCCGATCCCGGAACCCGACTATAATTCACGAAATCTGAATACCCATTCCGATACGAGTTCAACCATACCTAAATTATCAAATTTCGATAACGGATCGCCCTTCAAATCTTCATTTTACATTTTTGAAAAATTTTACAATTTTTTCCAATTTCTTCTATTCGATTCACAAATTAAGGATGCAAAAAATCATGGAATCATGAAATATAATGAAAATCGAGTAGGAAACTCTTACCCCAATCCATTTGGTGAAAATGCTCTAAAAATCGCCCAAATTCGAGTTCCCTAGCTCCAAAAATGTTGAAATGAGCTTATAAAAAAACTGTCCAATAAACACACTAATCTAGTCGCTAAAAGCCTAATTCCCGTCTCTAAATGTGCCAAATCTGGTCGGTAAAGGCGCGTACCAGAACCTACTTGCACCAACAGTTTATTTTTCATTAAAAAGTCTCTAACTCCATCATACGAACTCGGAATTCGACGATTCTTGTTTCTATGAGTCACAAATAATAATATGAACCTAGTCGTTCAATTGAAACTCAATTCAGAGGTCATTTTCTTCATGCAATACTAACTTCGCTCGTTAAATTAACTCATGTTTCGCGGTAAAAACCAAATCGCGACTTGATGAAATTAGACCAAACATTCCAGAAAATTCCTATAATTCATTATCAAATTCTCGGAAGTGTCGAAATCGAATTTTAATTTCCAGAACTAAAAATGAACATTTTGATCATTACATGCTTATGCTCAAAACAATGTCTAAACACCAAAGACGTTAGAAAACCCATCCAAAACTCATCTGAGCCCCATGGGACCCCAACCAAGTATACTAACAAGTCCCAAAATATGATACGAACTTGCTCGAAGCCTCAAATTACATTTAACAATATTAAAATCATGAATCGTGCTTCGATTCAAGCCAAAGAAACTTATGAGCTTCTAAATTCCAAAACTAATGCCGATTCATACCAAACCAATTTCGATTGACTTCAAATTTTGTACACAAGTCATAAATGACAATACGAACCTATTCCAGCTTTCGGAACTAGGGTCCAACCCAACATCAATAAAGTCAACTCCCGGTCAAACTTTTCAAAATCTTCCATTTTTTTTAACTTTCGCCAATTCATGCTGAAACGACCTACTGATCTCCAAATCAATATCCGGACACACTCCTAAGACCAAAATCACGATACAGAGCTATTGAAACCCTGAAAACTATGTTCCGGAGTCATCTACACAAAAGTCAAACTTCAGTGAACTCTTACCGCTTAAGCTTCAAAAATAAGAATCCTTCTTCCAAATTGATCTCGAATCATCCGAAAACCGAACTCGACCACACACGCAAGTTATAATACATAATACAAAACTGCTCGGGGCCTTAAGCCGATGAACGGGACGCTAATTCTCAAAACGATCGGTCGGGTCGTTATATTACTA